GGGGGGGGGGGGGGGGGGGGGCGAAGCTTGATGGGAAAAGGCAATGGGAGATCCTGAATAGAAAACTCTACAAGGCAACATTTTATCGCAATCTGATCGGTAATGTCTAGTAGGACTTTGTATTCCTGATATACGCAGGCGGCTGGCCAATGTTTTTCATGTTGCCTACTTAGAAGATTCAAGGATTCTGTTCAGAAACAAATGGAAAAGCCACCCTGTCAGATGGCTTGGTTTCTCCTTTCCTACCTCAAAGTCAACCACAGCTGGATTGTCCTTCGTTGATTCCAGCCAATTGGTAAACACAGTGTGCTCAGGAAAGGCCCCTTTTCTCTCCCAGGCAAGAGCTGCGGCGTACTGAGATCTTCCGCCTTTGATGAAGGATATGGACTTTTCAGAGGACTGCAGAAATGAACCTGGGAGACAGATTTAACGCCTGTGACTGGGGCAACAACATGAGCAGGTAGGTTCATAGCATCCGTTGGAAGTCAAAACAGAAAATATTTTGTAGAAGACCCTCTTGGAAACCAGGAAGAATTAAAGTAAAACATCTTTGCCTATCAGTGACTTTTGCTACATTTGTTTGAGTGGATTTTTCCATTGGGGTTCCAGAAAAGGTGAGATTTATTATGCCATATCAAACTTCTTTAACAGTCATACAAACACTGTAGAACAGTGTTTCTCAACCTTGGCAACTTTAATATGTGTGGATTTCAACTCCCAGAATTCCCCAGCCAGCATGGTTGCTGGGGAATTCTGGGAGTTGAAGTCCACACATCTTAAAATTGCCAAGGTTAAGAAACACTGCTGTAAAACAACAGCTTTGGCTGCACTAAGAACTAATAATAAGGCTTGCTGCAAGACTGTATGTATTCAGCACCATCCTTTGCAGAGTTTAACAGGTGGCCCTTCCTTTCCTTTCCCTTCCCTTCCCTTTTCACAAGAAGTTTCTAGCCCTCAAGCAGTAAAAGTCATTTTGAAAGCATCTGGTAGAATTTCTGAAGGCAGAGACAGAGTATGAGTACTAGAAGCTGGGGGATGGATTTCTGTCTTTAGGAAATCTTCACCCATAGGCCTCCCATAGGAATTCACTGAAATTTACATAATGTTTTCAGATCTTTTTTGTTTTACATTACTTGCATTTTGGTTCTGAGCTTCCCCTGCTTGAGATCTCAGAAACAAACTGTATCTGAATATAGGCCAAAAAAGTCAAGATGTGCAATGCACATATAAAACAGGCAGATCTTTGATCCTGTCGTTGTGACCCCCAACAACTTTTGTTAACCATACCCTGCAGACACCCCTTCCAGCTATTTGCCCTTTTGAAAATATTCTGTGCATTACATGCAAAAGATGCATCTTCCTCATGATTATCTATAGATCCAACTGGTTTACAGCAAACAGCATTTGGACTAGTCTCTAGGGCAGATGTTTTTAAAGCACCACCCAGATAAACTCATAGACCTCTGTGCTCTATTTACATATATCTTCCCCTGAAGGGTGAAAGGAAATTGAAGGAGACACACAAGCGTTTGGGTAAATCCTAGTGGCATTGACATTCTTATAATTTGTCATTGGAAACTCTTGGACTGTGCAATGGTAGCACGGGACAGATTTTCCTTGATAGTCACCTTCATGATGAACAACCATTTTGTTGGTGGTGCATCTCGTTTCCACTTTCTTCTTTTTCCTAAAGAAGACACGCCTGGTTGTTTCTGTCCGGACGCACTCTTTTGATTCTTCCTGGGTTAAACCTGAAGAAATGAAAATTATTTCCTGAACACTTTAGCATTTACAAAATGAGTATTCATGCTTTTTTCCCCTCCTCTGAAACAAGAGTTTCACCTACATTGTACCCATTTTACAGATAAAGAAGAGAGACTGAGAAATAAAAATAGCCAATGAGTTTGTAAGAGGAAGAGTTGTAGATCCGAAAGACATATTCTCCTTAATTATACCTGTTCATGCAGACTTTTCTTTAAATTGAGGTTGCTTGGATATTATTGCTTTAGTTTTCCATTTCTTATATAAGTCTTTAACCTGTTCTATGCGACTTTTAATAGAATTATTATTTTGGGGTTTAATTAGTTGTTTGTAACTTGCTGCAAATGGTGTGTGTTTGTTCATTTTAATGAGTTTTATCCTCACCTGGGGTATATTTTTAATGATGAAAAAGTGGGATGTATCATTTTATTCTTAGTACATTAATAATCAGCTTCTTGTGCCATTTGCTGCTCATCTAGATGCAGTGATTATTTTAATATAGTTAAAGACAATAAAACAACCAAGAAATGCAAACATTTCTCTCGGTTTATTTCCACTCATCAGTTGGGTTTAGAACCCTTTTGCCCTCTAAGACAAGAGCATCCTTCTACCACAGTAGGATCACTCTGTAAGGCAGCCATGTAAATCTGCCTTTCCAAATGGTTTTTTTCACTGGGAAAGCTTCCAGCAACACAGATTGTATCATTTTACATTCCTTCCTTTGCACTTTCCATTTTTCTGAGTCTCCCATACTCCCCAGTTGATTTTTCAGACTTTGGTGGAAATGTCCCCTTGGTTCCGTTCTCTTTTATCATCTCACTAAAAAGACTCATGGAAAGAAAAAGATGAATTACAATGCTTGCCCATGGAGATGGTGGGGCACATTTTCCCTTCCCAATATAGTTATTGGCGGAGTAATGGGCCCATCTTCCTTTGCTAAGGACCATATACCTGAATTTCTCAGCTCTTCAGCGCTGTACTGATAGAGGAGGTCATATGTGCCTCCCAGTGACCCAGATGCGTAGTAATGTGTCCCAAAGTCATCAAATATCTGGCTGTAGAGGGGATAGTTGTACTCCAGGGGCAAGCTGTTAAGCGCCTGTAAGAACACCCCAGACAGCTGCAAGTCTGACTCCTTCATTGTGAAATTTGAGACCGCAATTACCTTATGGATCCTAATAAAGTTGGAGTTCTAAAAAATGAAGAAGAGAAAATGTGGATATGACTCCAGTTGCTACTAAAATATTGTTTCCTAGTACTATGATATGCAGTGACTGGTAATCATCATGGTTAAATCTAACCAAAATTAGAATCTGTCTTACCACCTTTTAAAGCCAACAAAACAAATAGCCCAACTCGCATCTTAAAAATGAGTTTGTTAATGAGAAACTTTAAGTCAGAGATTGGTATCTAGGTAGCATGCGGTCCTGGATCCATTTCTGTGGCTCCTAGACACACACACACACTGTGTCTGTGCTGCTAAATTTCACGAGTAAAATTAGGATTTGGGGGAATACAATATTTTTCTTTTCTTTGACAAGTTAAGTCCTAAAACAGATACATCAAGCCTCAGGATGGCATCATGGGCCTGTTTTAAGTAGTTCCTTGAAACTCCCCTGAAAGCAGAAACAGGTATGAACATTTTAGCTGTGCCTCCACCTGTGACGTTACCACCATACCACTTGAAGCCCTTCAGTACCAAACAAAATAAATAAATAAAATGCCATTCCAGACTAGAGAAAAATGACCTGCCCCCTTAAAATCTCTGTTTCCTTTAATGGTAGATGATAATATTTTTGGCCCCAAAGTTTTAAATAATATTTGTAAATGCACATTCAGTCACCTATATAACTTATTTAGGTTTTTATTATTAACACTTATTCAATTTGTATTTCTTGGCTGCACCTGGATGAAATATGGGGTGTTGTCGTTGTTAAGAAAAAGTATATCTCTGCAGTAATAAAAGCAGTTCTTAAAACTAAAGCCGTACTAAAAAAAATCATGCTTGTATTTACCTCCCTTGGAAAAAAGAATGCAGACTTTTTATTGAACAAATACCATTAAGCATATTTTTTAAAAAAACAAACATTCTGTAAAGTAATTATACATATGCATTTAACTACCGAGGATTCATTTTGCATTTGCACATACCCAAATAATAAAGCAAAAGTAGAAATGTTGCACCATGCCGAGAGCTCTGATTAATAGCCTTTGTTAGAAGGAAGGTGAAAGTTATAACACAAGAATTCCAGCAAGTATTTTACTTTCAGATGAGACACCTGTATATAGGCATTTAAGGCAGCAAAACCCTTGTTTGTTTTGTCCAACTCTATCTATGCAGGGGGTTGGATTGCTCTCTCTTGTATCTATCTGTTTACTAATCTGGTAACTCTATTCTTTCTATTAATGTGAGAAGTCACTCTAAGACCCAGCTTCTACTGGATGTAATTGGAAGTGGTATGTTTTTCTGATTAGCTGGCTAATAAATCATCAGCTTTTACAGGTCTGTAGCAGTTATCCATTTCTGTAATAAAAGAGATGAATAAAGTTATCCTAACCTATGAGCTCTTTCAGACACTCAGAATCTCAGTCTCTCTGTTCTTCTGAATTCATTTATTCAAGACTGATTCAGGCACTTTTGATTATTTCCACATCTGTCTGGTCATCAAGATGCCATGAGTCCTGCTGGTGTATATGTTTGCCAGTGTACAGAGCTCACAGTGAATGATCAAGCAATCAGTGCTCAATAGTTGAGCACTGAAAACTGTCAGCCAATCACTGCTAGTGTAATGATATGTGGGAATGACCTTGGGAGACAGGTGGAAGGTCTGCAGACTAGACAACAGTCAGATAAGAGGCAGCTGAGCCCACAGAAGGAATGGGGGCATGGCAACATCTCAGAAGGGACCCTTCTTAGTTTCTTGGACTATTAAGGTGGGGGGGGGGGAGAGATGTACTTTCAGACTTGCAAGATTCTGTTAATGTAATCTTACAATAAAGTTAGAACTAGTATTTCTGGGTGTGCTTCTTGCAAGGCTGACAGCTAGCTTGTAATGCCAATGCCTCAGCCTGCCTTTTAGGTCCACATCTAAACATGTCTTCCCACTCTACTCCAAAATGAATCATGATAGATCATGATCACTTTCTGTAAAGCTCCTAATGCTGGCGTGCTAGCAGTTCTGCATTAGGTTTCCTTTAGCTAATCATCCTGCTACAGTGAGAATGGAGGAGCTGGAAGTGAGGTAAACCAAAAACCCCTTTCAATGAAAGCAAAGACCACATCTTGAAGCAGAAGAGAGCAACGCATTGCCATTTCTAAAGCAGCATTTACTGCCTTGAAATGGCATTCTTCCTTCCATAGATACAACCTATTGAAATAGTTCATAACTCCAAATACCAGGTGAGGTCTCTAACCCTAGGATGGACCTGCAATGGAGGATTTTAGGCTGGACTTGCAGAATGTGCCTATAGTAATATGCAGAGGAGGTCAGGGGAAAAGTGGGTGTGGTCCAACAGCAAATAGGCACACCCAGACTAAAAACCACAATTTTCTTTCCATCCAACCTTTTCCACTTTTTAAAATTTTCAAACTGTTGAGTTTAATTTTAATTCACATGCCAGAAGTGGGCAGCAAATAAGGAAGGGCCTGAGACACAAAGAACTTTGGGGATAATGCTTCCCCATCTGCTGGTTATGCTCCCATGTTTTAACTGGAGAAGCTGGAAGTTTAATCACAAACTACCTTGCTTTGCAAAGGCACTACCCCTGACTTGCAGTTCTTCCTGGATAATTTTTTCTTACTGAACTTTTCCAGTGAATGCATGGGGCAGTCACTCCTAGCCAGAGATCTACCTATTGACATCCTGAACACAGGACAGTGGTGTTTTCAGAAAGTATGCATTTTCGAATTTTATGACTGCGGTATTTTTCCACTGAAATGTATGTACTGTAACATGATCAGTCTCTACTGTGTATTGGTAATCATTAAACAAAAGGAGATCAATCTTATTTGCCTATAATTCCAAAGATTTCACTGTATTTGAAAAGCCAAATGTCGCCAACCTGAAAACAGAAATGTTTCTCATTTTGAAACATTTTAATTTCATTTTTAAAACAGAAATGAATAACCCATATAGGAAAAATAATGGCTTTTTTCTCCCACCTCGCTAAGCGAGCTGAACAGCCTCCTTTTGCAGTTTAAAACAATTGGCATTGACATTTCAGGCACATAATAACACTTGCCCCTCGCACACAGTGCAGAAGGCAATTCTGCACAGGAATGTTTTTCTATGTAGGCTGGCTAATAAACAACTGGCTTTCCTGGATCTCTCACTTATCAGTTTCTGTAGATGGAGCCTGAAAGCCAGAATGAAAACAGAAATACCTTTTTATATGATGCTTGGATCGCTTCCTTGAAGGAGGAAGAAGATGTCACCTGCACATTTGTCTTCTTGGAGAACAGGAGTGGGATCCCAGAACGCCCTTTGCCAGAGCTAAAGGAAGAGCTCTCACTAGAAGAACTGGTTTCAAGGGGGGTTAAGTCACTGTAAAAGTCCGAACCCACCTCATCCTCTTTATTCACTACCTATGGAGAGATATAATTACAGAAACTTGGTTTTACAAAGGATAGGACATTGCAGGGCGATGGCAGGAGCTGATACTAGTCCCCACAGCGGGTATCTAATTCCCACAACTGGATTTTTTTAAAAAAAATTAGGGGAATTTAGAAAAAAAATTCTAATTGTTTTTTAGATTTTAAAAAACAATCCTCTGTGAAGGAATTTGGTTTTAGTCTTGAGAAAGAGGTGGGTGACATGGAATGGCTGCTCAGCCCTGGGGAGGAAGGAAGTGTGAGGAGACTCAGGAACAGACCCATCTTGACCTTGTTGTCCTTGAAAAAGGCAGTGACAGTTTTGGACAGACTTGTATGATTCTGTTAGGATACTCTACAACAATAAATTAGCATTCCTGGAATCCCCGCAGTGTCCATTTCTTGACCTGGCCTACCTCAACATCTTGAAGCTCAGATTTCCAAAGGAATTACCAGCTTGTCTGCACACTACTCGAGGTGAGGCTGAGCCTGGTGTGATTGTAACCTGCCCCTCTCTCATTCCGTCTTCTCTCCCTCCTTCTGGACAACCCATTCCCTTTTTTCCATTCTGTTTCCTGCAGGCTGCCACAGAAAAGGCAGATCTCTCTTGCTGAACATCCCTCACCAAGAACTTTTGAAAATAGGCCGATGCACATAAAATAAGATGGAGAGCCAGGGCTATAGCAAGTTACCCGTAGCTGTTTTGATGCACAAAGGCACATACACAGAACAACAAGAGTGACAACACGGAGAAATCAAAGACTTGGAATTAGAAAATCTTGGGCAAGAATGTGCTGTTCTTAATTTAGCAGAAGATAAAAGATATCTGAAAGTGCCCTTTGAGTTTGCTAAGTGTATGTGCTCGATGTGCATAAAAAAAAAACCACAGCTCCTATTGCACCATCATGGACACTACCTTGACTGTTTTGATCATACCCTACAGCAGTGTTTCTCAACCTTGGCCAATTGGGAGTTGAAGTCCACACATCTTCAAATGGCCAAGGCTGAGAAACACTGCCCCATAGACACTTCTAGAACTTTTTGTAAAGCATCTGTACTCATGAATGATGATAGATAGATAGATCTAAATAGATAGATAGATAGATAGATAGATAGATAGATAGATAGATAGATAGATAGATAGATAGATAGATTTTGGTGAATAAAGCTCATGCTTACAGTGACCACAGCCAACACACTTAATATTTTTTGACAGTTACCTGAAAGGAAACAGACTGTACGTTTGCAGGAACACGATATGTGTTCCTCATGTCGTTGCTCTTGACAAGTATGCACTTGCCTCCATTGAAAGAATTACGGAGGATTTCACCTCGATTCTTTCCTGCCAGAATATGATATCTAAGGGAAAACAATAGGAATTTTGCATCTGGTCACAGAAAGCACCATGGATCAGTTTCTTAGTTATTCATAGTAGGAGGGAGGGAGGGAGGGGTTCTGCTTAAAGTGGTGTTTTGCTAAAGAATAAATAAAGCCACATGCTTATGGGACAATAGAGCAAACAGACTGAAAGTTTATTCCTTAAAACCATGAATACTTTTAATGTTTCCTGGTGACCTCCAGATATTTGGATTACAAATCCATGATACCTAGCCATACCTGCCCTATTGTCCAGGGCTGATGGGAATTGTAGTCCAAAATATTGGGAGGGCATCAAGTTGGATAAAGCTAGACTAGATCCTCCTTCCCCCCCCCCCTGTTCTCATCTGTCCAAGTTCTTTTCTAAATGTCTTCTTGCAATCTCTCTTTCTCTCTTCTTCCCTTCTCAGATAATTGGCTCTAAATGAAATTGAGCATCTTAATGTATAGCTAAAGAATAAATGGCAATGTTTGGAGCAGTGTATAGATATGGTGGAAGCCAAGATAGTTTGTAAGGTCAGAAAAGCATGGAGCAGAATAATGAATGGTCTTTATATAAACTAGTTTCCTTTTCTTTTTCTTAACTTATCCCTTAATTCCTTTGAATTACTGTTTCTTACTTCTCTTTGCCCTCTGCAGAATTCAGCTTCCCCTGAGCAGCTTAAGCATGGCTTACCCATGGCCCATTAAGTGCACGCCAGGGATGCTGTCATGTCTTCTAGCACACACGGGCCGCACACGCGGACAGTTCCTTTCGTCTGAATTGTCCTCACAATCATTTTCTCCGTTGCATTTCAGGTTCTGGCTAATGCAATGACCTGGTGCCAACAGAAAAAACAGGAGTCAGAAGTCATATTTTTTAAAGAAAAGCAGACAAGCAAACTCCATAAGGAATGTATGCTTTCATGAAAGCTTACATTATTATGCAAGAAAGAAATATTCTGAATATGTAGCCTTATTTATTTATTTATTTATTTATATTTCAAATTTAGATACCGCCCATCTCACAAAAAGTGACTTTTGTTATTATCGTTCAGAGCCTGGGAGCCAGTAATAGTGGGTTGACTCTTCAACTGTCACTGAAAATAGACAGGATATAATTTCCCTACTCCCCTTGCGGGTGGAGGGAACCATAGAAACCTATGATTTTACATCATACTTCAAGGGAGGAGGCCAAGAACTTGAAAGGAGTGCCAAAGAATGGGAGAATTGCTCTCAGCCATGGCCATCACACATCCCTTCTCTGTTGAAAACTTCTCCACATCTGGAGGGGTTCCTGCCACTCCCAAACCCCAGCCTGAGGTAGTTGGGCTCTGTGCCCAGGGACTCTGGGAGAATTTGCCAGTTTCGCTTTCACATCATCAGCTGCTCATTTTTATGTACATCAGTGTTGTCCAAACTTGCTATGCCATGCTGTCTGGGGAATTCTGGGAGTTGAAGTCCACTCATCTTAAAGTGGCCAAGTTTGGACAACACTGATGTACATCCTTGATTTCATAGCTTTTCAATACACCTTCGTCTATTAGGTCTTTTAATCTGTCTTCTTAGCATATTCAGACACAGCCCCTTTTCATCTTCAGCATTCCACATCCACCTTCACTACAGGACAAACACAGCCTATCAATGTCACTAAGTGGGGCCAGTGCACAGCTGATGGTCCTAATTTTCTGAGTCTTTCAATCTAGTGCTTCTAGCTCAGCTTGTATTAGTTTATAATTCCTGCAAAATTATAAAGAAGTAGAATAGTCCAGATATGGATGGCCTTGCTGGAAGGAATGATCATTTCATCTGGACAGCTTTAGGGACAACCGATCCAGACAGAGCTGAAACCCTGGATCAGTATAGCGGCAGGACAGGGCAACCTTACTGGCATGACAGCCCAAGGAATTATGTCCAAGGAAGTGAGGGGAGGAAGGGTTACTTTCTCCACTAGCTGATGTTTGTGATCAATATACCACATGACAAAAGCCAGGCCCAACCCTCCGCAAGGGTTTATTTCAAGACCAGCAGTCCTGAAGATCAGCAGGCATTGTCCGCACTCTTATTACTGGGAACAGCTTCTTCTACAGTAAGAAACTAATACAGTAAGAAAAGAGAAAAGAGAAAAAAGCCAACACCTGTTGCATAATTTATCATATTTTGCTTTCTTCTTTCAATTGCTGGAAATTGCCGTATATTTTTGAGTGGTATGTTTAGTGGTCAAGGGCAGTAGAGAATAAAATAATGATACAGTGATGGATAGGGCCAATATTTCCAGGATTTGGGAGGATAAGAGGTGCTTCTTTAGATTATTAAATCCATTCTATCGTTTACTCACTTTTTTTGTTTTGCTTATTACCAAACTTCTATAATTTAGAGTCGCTGGGATTTGGGTGGCATATAAATTGAATAAATTATTAAATTATTATTATTATCTAATTTCCCCTAATCTACAGCCCAATTTCAATGGAATTTTTTTATAGGATAGTGCGGATTGCAAAGGGGATTTGAAAGTCACCTACACTGCTCCTAAAAGGAATTGGGGAGCTGTTGCAACAATTAGGCAGCAAAACGAATTTCCTTTGAATATTCTCATTCCTCCATGAATCACTAGCCTGAGTAGGTTCTAAGAGCAGTGTCTTTTTGAGCCACAGCTATGAAACATAAGAAGTGAAAATCAACTTGCAGATCATGCAAATATGAAAGAATTCCATATCCCTTCTCTTGTTCTTTTCAACCTGGAAGATTTTGTTGAGCATTTTTTTTAAAAGATTCAATTATTTGTATTTACAGTGCATCAAAATCATGAAAGAAAAAGGAAGACACTTTCAATAGTTACCATTTTCACAATGGAATTTGTTGCCACAGTTTATTTCCTCCATGTTGCAACGTTTTGTGGGAAAGCACGGACGTGACTCCACCAAAGGTTCATCGCACGGTTGTCCTTTAAACTGAGCTACTTGGTTAATGGATCTGGTATGAAACTGAAAAACAGAAGGATGTCCATTCAAGGGCAAAAAGTGGGGAGAGAGGGTTTTAGCCAGGTACTTTTAAAGAAGAGAATGAAGCAGTTGGCAGCACCTAACCCACCTTGGCTGATCTCAAAAAAAAAAAAAAAATTAACAGGATCGGACTTGATTAGTACTTGGATAAGAGGTCATGAGGGCTGTGGTCCCCGACTTTCACCTGGTCAAGGAGCTTATAGTCATGAACTGCTCTAACACCCCACTTCTGTCCTGGGGACAAAAAAGGTTGGTACAGATGATGGAGATTTGAAAAGCTGAATAAACCCTTTTTTCCCATTTTCATCCAAAGATTCCTCTGAGATGGCTATCTCTCAAACAGACGTTGGGCACTGCCTATTTGAGAGATAGCCATCCAAAAGAATATTTGCCTCTTTGTCCGCAAACACATCTGCAAAATCTGAGTATTTCACTGGACAGGTAGGTCAGTTGCTGTGCGGGATTGGGTCATGGGGGCAATCAGTGTTGTTGACATTCTGGGGATGAGAATAAAATGGCTCCTTGTGCCCAGCCCACATCTGGATTATGTAACTGCAGCCACTCGATTCTTAAGGTACTTGCAAGGAAGCACAACACTAGTCCTTTTTGCGGCATCTGTCCATCTATTGCAGTGTTTCTCAACCTTGGCAACTTTAAGACATGTGGACTTCAACTTCGAGAATTCCCCAGCCTCAAGTCTTAAAGTTGCCAAGGTTGAGAAACACTGATCTATTGGATCTACCACTGTTGGCTTTGGAGTGTCTGGGTGGTTAAACTTAACTTTTGTACTGTGGTCTCTTCTATGAAATTAGCAGTTGCTCCCAAGGGTACTTTGTTACTTGAATCTAAATAAAGAGTAACAGGAACAACATCTATCTGAGCTGTCCTTAATTGCTTGAGGGGCCCCCTTCAGAGCTCTTGGGAGCTCTTGGGAGATGGACCTAAAAAATTTCCTGACACTGTGGCCTTGAAATGAGTTGGGCACTTGCTTGCCAAGTGGCCTGTAGATCCAAAGAATACAGAATACTTTACTTTAATGACCAAGTATAAAATATATACAAGGAATTTGTCTTTGGTGATGAACAGCAAAAGCAACAGAGCGTTTGGATAGCAGCAAAAAAAGGAATGATAGTAAACAGTAACACTACACAGTAAAATAACTTTTCCAAAGGGAGAAGCCACTGTCCAGCACATATTGTATCATGTAGTGTTTAACAGAGCAATGGCACAAGGGAAAAAACTGTTCCAGTATCTAGATGTTTTAACATATGGTGCTCTGTAGCGCTGTCCTAAAGGAAGAAGTTGAAACAGTTTATAACCAGGATGGGAAGAGTCTGCAGATATCCTCTCTGCCCTCCTTTTGACCCTCACAGTTCTTCTATAGAAGGCAGGTGGGTTGCAATTATCCTTTCTGCAGACTTAACTATCCGTTGGAGTCTGAGTCTGTCCTG